AAAATTTAAAAAAAAATGGGTTGTAAGAGACAGAAATTTTTATTTTAGTACTTAGATTGTCATTTAGTAAAAAGTCATTATCATTATTAGTATTTTTTATTTGGTAAAGTCTTTTTTTGATATATTTTTGTATAAAAAGTTCAGTAGTCATTATCGCGTAAAATTCGTTTACCCATGGGAATATTCTTACTGCAAAATGATTCATCAGATAAAAGAATAGCTCTTACTGATCGTGTGCTTAGGCACTGACCCTCAAGTCATCATGGAAACAACTGAGAGCAGAACATGTTCAACAAACGACATTTTAATTTGTTACGTTTTAATCATACTATTTCATAATTTTTTTGTATCTAGCAAAAATTATAACGAGAAAAACAATCGAAACGACAGATTTTACACCAGTAAAGACTGAATACGAAAAAAAAATATTTTCGTTACATTTATCACTGTGTTTATACTGAATGCCGCTTGAAATACTTGGAATTGATTAGTGACAGATTAGCAACTTTATTGGCGTGTTACTACAACGTTTCAAAGCACCCTTCCGAGCTCGACAATTTTTTTCCAAACGTAGAAACAAATAAGCATCTCTGTTGTTAGAATATTTGATTTGCTGATGTATTAGGAGGATGCCCAATTTACTGTGAACATACACTTTGTTTGCTTTACTGAGTTACACACATGTGGAAGATTTTTTTAGACTCTCTTTCGATAGTCTCTTTCTTCCTACTTTTTTTTTTTTTTGGCTTTTGAAAAAAATTGGGGAACCATATTTATATTTGCAAATGCCTTTCTTCTTCTTCTTCTTTCACTCTTCCTCTCTTCCTTTAGATTATTGTATTACTTAGGCGCTAATCATCCTCATCCGGTGACATTGGCTCGGTTAATAGTTCGGTTGAGTTTTTATAACTTTTGGTGCTTGACAAATCAAGACTTTGCAGTGGGCCCCCTTCAACTTCCCGTTCTTGCTTTTACTAACTTGAAGGAGGTTTGGCCATTTTACAAGTAATGATTAATCACTACTGGTGCACTGATTATACAATTTTTACATTAACGTAAATACTTGTCAAAAAAATTAAAGGTGAATTTTCATTTGCTTATTTAATAACATTTTGATTCAATCTAGAAAAATGGAAAAAAATCGATAGTTTTCCATATTAAAATCACAAATAAAATAAACTCGGTTCTGTTGATTGTACACGGTATATTACCGAAACCTAAATCTATATATGTCTGATAACGAACTTTTCTCAGATCTATGAAGAATTAAAAAACTCACAGAGAATAAAAAGAATGATTCAAAAGAAAAACAAAAAAAAAATATATCAAAATCGCGTACCGTGTATAATTCACTATGAAAAAATGCTCCACCACGCGTTAACGAGATGGAAACGAGAAAAAAAAGAAAAAAATGATCTAATTAGAGAGCCGATAAAAAAAGGCTGAAAAAAAGAAAAGAAAGAAAAAAGGCAAGTAAGTTCCTCGAGAAGTACGCCAGCATACCACTGAAATTGCAGCAACTCCTGCTGTGTGCCACGCAATCGCTCTTCACGTGCGATACACAGGGCCCCGGGGGTAGCGGGGCCGGTGATAACGCGGACGCTCAGTCGACCGCCTCGAGTTCACACAGTCCTCCGCTCGCGCAGGGTCACTCCTCGTCGAATCTCCTCGACTGCAAGACCAATCCGGCCCAGTACGTACTCGTCCAGGGCTGGCAGCTGCTCGCGTTGGCCGTCTCGCTGTTCCTGCCCCGCAACAATCGGCTCCTCTGGTACCTCAAGCTACACCTGCAGAGAAACGCCGACTCCAAGTTAGTATATACCTCCCCATTTTTTTTTTTTTTTTTTCCACTATACCATTGTGACGTTACCACGATTGTTGTAATCGATTCAAACGTAAAAAAGTTTGTAAATTAATGGCCCTTCGTGTTAACAAGAGCTTGTTTTCCAAAATAGTTTTTCTAGCGGAAACCAAAAGAAATTTTGTCCAGATGTAGTGATGTCTTAGAATGGTATCATTTAGAGAGGATAATTTAAAAAATCTTCTTAAAATACAGTGATGTCTTAGAATTAGTCAAATGATATTACTTCAGAGACTTGACTGGCACACATGACATCAAATGAACAAGTTTTGTTCTAGTCTGCCATCATGTAAATGGTTGATGGAAATATTAAATGTAATAAAAAATCAGCAATAGATGTACTTATTCCCCAACTTTGGCTAAAAATACCTGATAACTTCTCAAAATTATGTGTTAAAACCGTGTCTTTTGGGCGTTAATTTTCTTGCTCCGCACAATCGCGTAGTAATATTAAGCTGCAGGTATACAATGCACACATACTTTTGTCTTTGGAAACCACCGTACATGTACATTTATAACTCGCAGAACGGAGTGCGGCAAGTACTCGGCCTACTGCGAACGAGCGCTGGAGCGTACCCTGCAAAACGGGTGCCGGGAGGTCAAGCCGTCGCGTATGGAGGTGCTGTCGATCCTAATGAAGAATCCGTACCATCACTCGCTCCCTCACGCGATACCCGTGCACTTTCTCAACGGCACCTACCAAGTGGTCAGTTTCGACGGCAGCACGACTATCGAGGAGTTTTTGGCCACCCTCAACCAGGAGATCGGCTGCAGGGACGTCCACCAGTCGGGCTTCACGCTCTTCAGTGACGATCCTATCGAAAAGGATCTCGAGCACTTTATCGACCTCCAAGCCAAGGTAACATACGCAGATTTTTCTTTCTTTACTTTGGATTTTCTCGTCTCAACAGTGGAAATCAATTACATTTCAGCTCTGCGATATAATATCAAAGTGGGAAACGGCCCTACGGGAAAAGGGCTCGGGCAAGTTTGAGAACACAAGGGTGATCCAATTGACGTACAAGTCGCGCTGCTACTGGCGACACGCGGCTAAAATGGAAACAGATCGTGAACGGCTGCTTTTGTGTTACCAAGTTAATCAGCAGGTCGTCCAGGGCAAGTTTCCCCTCAACCGGGAACTGGCCTTTGAGCTGGCAGCCCTCATGGCTCAAGTGAGACTTTTTTTTTCTTTTCTGTACGTATATGTATATTATTTTGAATCGAGATTAAATGAAATTATTGCTTTCAGATCGATTACGGGGAGTACAATGCGGAAAAGGCACGGGGAAGCGGCAACAATCCTCATCATTTGGTGCTGCAGGCGTTGGATAAGTTTTTCCCAGTTAGATATCGCGCCAACATCACTGCCGATCAATTGAGGTATGTGCTTTCTTTTTTTTCTCGATTTTACGTGGATTTTTTGTGAAAAAGGTTTGATCGATTCTTCATGTGTTCTTACAGAGAGTTGCAAGATAAACTGCAAGAAAAGTGGATGTCGCTCAAGGGTCGTGGCATCTTGGATTGCGTACGAATTTACCTGACCTGCACGAGAAAGTGGCCGTTCTTCGGTGCGACTCTTTATCAAGCAAAGGTACACCTTTGGGACAATTATAATATACACATTGCGTTGACGATTCTCTCCAAGTGAAATCAAAATTTTCCTTTTTCACAACATTTGCAGATCAAACAGTCTGATCCAACGACCGTGTGGATCGCGGTGTCCGAGGACAGCGTGACGCTTCTCGAATTACAGACGTTCGCTGTTGTGTGCCGGTACAATTATGGGAACATCATCACGTTCGGTGGATGCTTGGATGATTTCATGCTCGTCGCGTGCCCCGACGAAGGAGCTGCCGAGCAAAAGCTCCTGTTTGCCCTTAGCAAACCTAAGGTCCGTTTTGTTTCCTCTTCCGCCTTTATGTGACTCTTAACATTCGATACAAATGCTTTTGATTCGACAGATATTGGAAATCACCTTGTTGATAGCCGACTACATGAATGCATTGGGCCATACGTTACCCGGAACGCCACAAATGAACACGTTAACGCGAAATGGCTCTCATCGATCGATAAAGTCTACTTTACGGACTGGCACTGGTATAAGTTCATCTGATTTATCCTAAAAATCCCTGATAGGAGTACAAGTTAAGATGCAACAAAGATCATTTATTTGGATTGAGAGTCATTACTATTATTTTTTTGTGTCTATTCTTACCATTAAACCCCTCATTTGCTTTTCAAATAAATGAAACATTTTTATTAACAATTTATTAATCGAGCTTGTTTTTTTGTTTTTTTTTTTTGGGACTTGAAAAGATGAACAAACAGAATAACAGCATTTTGATCAGTAGTAGTTGCCAATTAAAAGCATCCACGTTCATAGCCAATTAGCAAAGTTCGAAACACGAAACGAAAATTGAATTAATTTTTCAAATTTTCAGGTTCAGGTTGCCTCCCAACACAGCCTGACATCCTGAAATCGACGCCAGACCATCAGAGGCCATGAGACGGTAGTAAAAATCGTTCGGAAGATTCCGAATTGTTTTATACGAGCAAACAGTCTGGCTCCGTAAGAGCCATGCGTTTTTCAAAGGTACTAAAGCATTCATCCTAAAGTTTATATACATGATAAAAAAAAAGAAATTAATCGGTTTACGTAATGTAAATAAATCGAACGGACTAATGGTATAAGGAGCGTGATAGTCAGTAAACAAAAATTAACGTGTAAGTCGATTAAAATAAGGAGAAAAAAACAATACAAACAGATGGACACTGCCTAATTTAGAGAAGTTTTATGAGATAAAAAGTTCGGATCGATGTGCAAAGAGTAAAAAAAAGAAGCTCAGCTTTGTTTGAACGTGTGTTTGGATAATGATTTTTTTTACACCATATTTATATTCCTTAAAAAAAAAGCAAAACAAAAAACGAAAAAACAAATAGATAAGAATCGTCGAACGTAATCGTTGTGTAAATAGTATAGTGAATAGTAGTCAACTAAATGTTTAGGGAATTAAATAGGACAATGCGAGAAAAATGAGACTTTATCCACACATCGCAAGAGTCGAAACAAGTTGAAAGCACTTTTATAATTTTTAGACGAAAGAAAAGAAATTATCACAACACTCTAGAAACACAATTCAACACATGGCAAGGAAAGTTTTTAGACACGAATTATAAAACCTTGCATGGATACATGTCAACTAGGGGTGAATAAATAGTTGACCTTCGAGTAATTGCCAAAATCATCACGAGGAAAAAAGTTGTGCAATTATTTTTTATCTAATTTGCATACACCTGTAGAAATAATCATAACGTATCTTAGTCTGATATAGTGCGTGCCATTGTCATATAACTTTTTATTTATTACTTAAGTAATTTTGGCATTTCTTAGTTAACATTATCACATCATGTTTTTTTTCGCGTATCAGAAATTTACACAATTTATCGGACGCACGAGTGTATATTAAATTATGTAGAAACGAAATTAAAAAGCTCGTATGTTACATGATGACTTGAATCTTATCTAGACGAATTCGTTTTCATTCAAATTGTAATTCGAGTAGATTCTGTTCAAAGCAGAAGTTGGTTTACGAGAAAGATATTGCACTCATTTAAAAAGAAAATTTTTTAAAGTTTTTTTAGTACTCCAGAAGTTATAAACGTGAGAATGAATTGCCATAAAAGCAGGGTGCCTAAAAAATTAACTAATAATATAAATGTTGGGCGTGTAAAACTAATGTCTTTGTAACTACGAATGTAACTTGATGTGCAACGATCGCACCTATTAACATTGACGCAAAGTTTTGTTAATGTAATAATAGCTAGTCGCGTTTAATCGCTTAATTTATTTTCAGGTGTAATAGAGTATGACTTTTTTGTTTGATTTAAAGAAAGGACACGACCAAATAGTCATAAAAAAATCATGATTTTTCGAAAGGATGAAATTGTATCATTAAATTATTCCTCTAACTTAAGCACGTATTGGGTGACTTTATTGGTTGCTTCAATTGGAATGTTTAAATTTTAATGTTACGCGATGTATTGTTCAAATTTTGATTTACTTCTTAAACTTATGTGGTTTGAAATTTTTTAACGTTAAAATATGTTTTGCATTGTTAAAACTAGTGTTTTTAGTGTTTAAATTTATTGGAGTAGTAAAATTTTCCAATGTGATACTTTTTATTTTTAATCGAATAAAGTTATCCCTAACAATCTTAAATTATTCTTTCATTCTCACGCTAATGAAAGTACGAATTTCAACGCAACCACTGTGCATTGAATGCTCATAAAAATCTGAGGTGATTATAAATATGTTCTCCGTTACGATTGATGTTTCGTTTTTTGTACTACTAGCAAAATATGATCCATATATAAATGCACCACTTCAATTGATACAGAAGTTTTGTACGCAATCGCTTGATGTGCCCTAATCAACTAGAAAATGTCTTCCTTTATTAAGTAATTGCAAATAAAATATTATATGTACAGCAAATACACAAATACATTTTAATGGGCTTTCGTGCAATACGTACGATACTTCTTTATCTTTTGGATGAGCATTAAGGAAGTATTGATGAAAGTCTATAGTTTGTTGGCCTGATTTAATAAAAATAATTGAAAAATTCGATATAATTTTAAAAGTAAAATAAGAAATAGTCGCATCGTGGACTACTATGACTATTGTATTACGATGAATCGAGGAAAGGAGGCAGTAGTACAAAAAATAAAAAGACGAAATGAAATGTTTTCACGAAATGTAAAAGTAAGACACTTTTGTCCTTAGTTTTTTATACGAAGACGAAAAAAGAGGAACATAATGTCGTCGGTGCTTGACGCCTTTGTAAACAATAAAAATATACGAATATTGTGCGATATGCGGAGAAAATGTAAGCGAAACGTTGGCTCATTTTGTACATAACTATGTTTGTATCTAAGCGAGGATGTATAGGTATGTCATACACATATTATATTAGTCGAAAATATATATACATCATGAGCAGCTGAAAATTTTGCTCAGCGAAATTTGGTTGATATGTGAATGGATAATAAAAAAAAGGGAAAAATTACAGTGCAAGATGTGCGCGCACGTGCATTCTGGATAACTTTATTTATTATTTATTTGTAACACAACGCTAGAGGCGTAAATCACACAATGTACGACAGAATTTATGATACATTGTACCATTGTACAAACAATAAATATATATTATATTATGCTCGAATGTGTGCCATGCAATAAGTTTTTTTTCCATTATCTTTTACTTCTTTTCCATCAATTGAATGTAATGTCGTTAAAAGACTCCTACATTCTGGGATTCAATAAAAACAACTACTCCGAGAGATTTCTACCTCCCGTTGAGCAAAGGTGTCGTAGGAAGTCGAGAACATTTTCAGGATGGAAGAGAGATTCACTCCGAGTTTGACGGGGAGCACGTAACGACTTCGTCACATTTATCAAAAATTTCTGCTGGTTTTTTTATATGTTGGTTAGAAAATTATTTTGTCCACTCGTACGGTTTGCATTTTTAAAAGTTTTAAATCGAGAAAAATGGAGCTGCAAGAGTTACCTCGCTCGAAACTTAATCAAAGGCTGACGCGTGATGTCGAAGCCGGTCGAGAAGGTATGTGTATGAAAATCAAACTGAAACTGGATTATTATTTCATCTGCAACAGCTTTTGTTTATTTTCACAATTATTTAAAGATACTAATCCACGGTGCAATTGTCTTATCATCTTCTACTAGAGTAATTATCGTGTAATAATTTGTAGTTAAAAAATGGAATCGGCACTTATTATTTTATTAATAAATAAATCCATATTATTAATGATACGTTTACTTTTAATATGTAATTTAAAATATGTTTTAACCGTCACGCAAATTAATTTTTCATAACAATCTTTACTTTTACTATGGAACTTGAATACACTCGTTTCATAAATTTTTCTTCCTGAATATAGCGCATTTTTTGTTAAAAATTTTTTTTATTTATTACGATTTACAGTATAATGGTAAAATTTTTTTTGTTTTTTGGCAATAAGTGCGATACATTTTAAATATCAAAGTTTATTATGAAATATTTAAAATAAAATATTTTTATACTTTTTCAAATACTTTGACTTTTTATTTATTTTTCTTTCAAATTATAATGCATTATTCGAGGGTGTATTTGCGTGCTTCAATATACGCAAAAAACGGCATTAAAAAAAAATTTTATGCGTGGGTGACAATTAAAAAAAAATTAGCAAAAAAAAAAAAAGTTTCAAAAAATTGGAAAAGTATCCATGCCCAAGTCTCGTTACTTACCATACTAATTGTTAATTAACCAATGTTATGGTTTTTTAATTATTAATTCATACTAACCTGTTTTATAGATCTTTAACTGTACTGTTGCACGTTTTTGATATGGTTTTTCTATTTTTTCAAGCTAAAAAGCGCAATGGATGATTATTTGTAAAAACCGTACATTTTATTTATAAATTTATTATACAAATTATACAAAAACTATTTTTTTTAATCGCTTACGTAGTTGCAATTGAAATCGTGAAACAACCCAAGATTCGGTTCGGACACGACTTTACAACCATGAAATGTCCGTATTGCCGGGCCAAAATGACTACGAGAATGGAGGTCAGAACCAAAATCTGGACTCACTTATCAGCTGCTATTCTGTGTTTGCTGTGGTACGTCGAAAAAGTACACATGTACTCGCGATTTGAAGCACAAGGAATAAAAAAAATTAAAAAAAAATTTTAATAAAAAATAATACATTTGCAGTATGTGGCCGTGCATCCCGTTGGTTTATTGCACCAAAAGCTGTCTAACTCTGAAACACTACTGTTCCGAATGTAACCAGTACTTGGGCGAGTCTGGCTTTCTTCCTTTTCTCAGATGGAATAGACGAAGCGATTAGAATCTGGATAAAGATGATGTACTTATTAATAAATGCAGAAAATTGAATGTGTGTTGCTTGAAAAGAAAAAATTTTAGTCAACTTGAATTAAATAAAATTTAGTCGTGGTAATACAATAGAGCCAAGTTATCGTTGTCTTTGACAACACATTTTAGAAGCTGAATTTATTATTAAAAGCTAGTGGCTATGAAAAAATTACGCTTGTGCATTTACGTACAAGGCATGACAGAAATTATATTCATTACTGAATGCAAGAAATGTCATGACACGTATATAAAGAATAGATGTTACGAAACAGTTTTTTTGCTAATTAAAAACGATTTTTGTTGTTGAGAGCTTTAGAAAGCCATTACAGAATACAATTGTTTTATTGGAAGTTTTTTTTTTTCATTCAAAGCTTTTACATTAGTTACAATGTTGAAAATTATCAGTTACTTTCTGCAACGAATAAACAAAAGTTTTTTTTCATGCTTTCGTGTCTTTCCTGAATTATATAGCATTTTTATCACATCTTTGAGTAAAACATACAATACGTAAAAGCTGTAAATTTTCTGCGAATTTTTTTTTCCTCTACATGAAACTATTTTCATTGCAAACCATAATTTTACTTCGTGGAGGTAATGAACTCGATCCATAATTAATCCAGTTCGAACAGAATAAGCGACAAAACAGCAAAATGATAAAAAATTTATTATGGGCATAAAATTTTACAGAGAAAAATGGTCACGAAAGCTCAGTATGGAAAGAGTTGTCGCGAGATCATGACATCATCGCTCCAAGGGGGCATTATAGGTATCCGGTGACGTGTTTTTTTCTTCAAAAAATTAAAACCACATGCCACCTAAAAGAACAGCCACGATACGACAGAAGGGAGATACTTGTGTGTTTACACAATTTCATCGAGCACGTGTACACAATAAGCCGCTCATAACATAAATGTACATTTATATATAATTTTGGTGTGCGCTCTAATGTGTCGTAGAGCGGTGGAGGAGAAGGCTGGTCCTCGCTGCTCTCCCTCTCCTGGCGTATATGATTCGTAACGTGAACGTAATGTATATGCCACTGCTGCGTATGACAGTATCTTAGTTTCGTTTTGACTCTCAGTGTAACACTGTCAGCAAGTCTCGAGTTTTTTTTTTTTTTTTCCACTCTCGTGCTTTTTATTACCGATTTGGTACTCGATTTTTGTTTTTCGTGTGTTTTTGTTGTGACAAAAAGGTTAGTTGTCGATTTTATTTTTGGTTTTGTTTTATCACTGCCGAAGAGCATTGTTGTAAAAAATCTGTGCTGGGCAAACATGTACGAATGGTTACAGGCACACGTGAGTAGAAAGATGGTGTCGAGAGTAGTAGGAATAATTTTTTTTTTTTTTTCCCCGTCTGCTTCCCGCAATGCTTGACTGGCAAATTAAGGTAGTGGTAGATTTTTAATTGAAAGTACCGAATTTTTTTTCAAAACTCACGTAAAATTTATCCTGTACGCTGTAAGGTAATAATTAAGGATGCAGTTTTTTTTTAACTCTATGATTTGCATCTACATGTATTTTTCTTTGGGTAATAACACTGCTTTAATAGTAATTTATCTTTAAAAGTCTTTCTGGGAATTCCCGAAATCGTGTCTATTTTTAGAGACATACATTTTTTTTATCCATGGGTGTATTTTTGTGTGTGTGCATGTATATTATGTCTTTATGTTGGACAAACTACAATTTTTTTAGTTCCTTTTTTTAACGTTTGTCTGTGGAATTTTTAATTGCAAAAAGTAGACAATTCATCGTTATACTACTCATTTTTTGTTTATTTAACGCTCATCATTCCGATACAGATGTTTTATCGGATAAAATAGTTATCACTCAAGCGTGCCTTCCCTTATCGAGTTATTATATTTTATGAACTTAGGTTTTTTAGCGCATCACAAAAAATACACACTTTTCATCGTACAAGGCATTAAGCTTACGTAGGACCATAGGAAACCTTGAAACAAATACCAACACCTTTGTCGTTTTGATTTTCATAATTTCTCCGGGAATTAATAAAAGTATAAAAACAAAAATATGTTTGACCATTTTTTTCCATATGCAGTACGAGGAATCAATATTAATATTCGATTCAGCTAATTGCCTTTCGACGAATGTGAAATAAGTCACGAAGGCTGCAGATCTCCCCTTTAATTAGCACCATTTGCAAGTGAATGTTTCCGAGGCAACGGCGTACAAAAATATTCTAAAAAATAAATCTACCCGCACGCGCGTACATTTTTTTCGTCAGCCCATACCGAGGCGCATGCTTATGCTGCTCAGCTGATATCAGATTACTCCGGCTTGCCTGCGTAAGTAAAATATCGTCACACTCGGACTGTAACGAAAAAAGAAAAAGAAAAAAAAAAAAAAAACAAACATTGAGTCATTCGTATTTCCCGCAAATTAACGTTCATAATCGAGCCTATCGGTCTCGTTAAAACGAAACAATATCACTCGATTTGCGCAAATTGCTTCCCAAGGATACCGCAGTTGGGAGATTATATAAGGGGAGATGAAGCCCTGTACTTATGCGTGCCCTATACGCATGTACTTCAGTATCGATGAACAGAAAAGAGACAGGAAAACGTGACGTCGCGCAACCTCAGAGGCGATCAATAAGTCCATGCTGTCCTTATATATATATATATGTGTGTGTGATTATGTGCGGTGAAGTTGAGTTCTACTTCTCGTGTTTCCGTTTCATGGGGACGCTGTCTGTGGCGCGGTTTTTATAGACACTGCAGCTGCGTAATATACGTTGCCGTGCTCGCGTCGATGCCAGCAGCAGATAGTTAAACACGTTTTTCTTTTTTTAAGCCTTCCGATCAATAACCGTGTGTGGATAACAAAAACATTACATTCACACGTTATGTTTCGTGCTAGAAATTTTTACAATTTCACGCAACACTTTTCCTCGATTTCCACATTTTTAATATGAAAATTTCTCTACTCTTTTTCCAAGCATTACATCTTTGGCCATATTTATTGCAAACAAAGAAAGCATTTCAAATAAAAGAGTATACCTACTTAAGCCGGCAAAAAGCCACGTGTAAGAGTTTTTTTATCTTCTACAACCCAAGCTGCATAGCACCGTGCTTTTCAGCTCGGGTTAGCATGTGACTCATCGCATCTCTCGTGTCGCGTCTCGACGTACAGACTTTTTCTCGACTCATAAAAATGCACCATTTTTTACTGAACCTCCACGTTATGGTGTTACGTTACTCGCAACCAGAGTAATGAATGAATAAAAAAAAAAATGGAATTGTTTATATTAAAAATACCGCAGTGTATGCTAAGCCCAACTTTCGCAGCCTATACTGTAATTTGAGATGAATAGCAAGATCATTCATTCATTTTTTTTCTATAAGCTCGCCACACAAGATTCTCTCTATTTTTTTTTTGTTTTTTTTTTTTTTTTCTAGTGCACAGAAGATTGCGCGCAAAATATTGCGAAATATTATTCACAAGTTAATAGTAGATTTAAAATAATATTGTCCGCAATTTTTCTGTAGCTAAGTCATCCTGTGTTGAAAAAATCTTCTTAGAAATCAATTTCTGGACGTCTCTGGTCATCACTTTATTGTAGAGCATTTTTTCCTCTACAACAGACGATAGATTTTTGAAAAGTAAGGCATGTAAAATAATTTTTTGAAATGTTTCCTCTCCCGAACACATGCATGTTCTTTTTCGAGAATTTTACATGTATGTTCTGTAGTCCGACGTTCGTCGATTCGTTACGTACAGACGTTGATGTAGGAAAAAACAGATATAGATACAACGTTAATCTGATATTGTACGGGTACACGTGTCTCGTTTCGTCCGAGTACTGTTATAACATCACCTGTATGTACTTACGCGCCGTACAGAGATTTTTTTCGCGTATCAAGTATGAGTCATCGATATTCTTATTGTAACTTTATCATCGCTCTGCACTACAAACAATAATATTTCTTAGAGGTAAAAACGTAGCAATCGTTATCAGACAAAAGATGCGATTAACAGTACATGTACCAATATCCATTCAAAGAATCAAGATAAACGCATGTGATACAGCGCAAGACAAAAAAATTCTATTGTCGATGTACCGCGAGTTTTTGTATTGGTGCTACGACGAAAATAATACGTGGCTTGAAAAATCACAGCTCGGCTCCATCAATTTTACCTCAAGGCTGATTTTAAAACAGCGCCAACCTCGCACGTGCAAAAACTTGTTACGCGCTTTTGTGTAATTTTTTTCGAGCTCTCTCTTTCTCGTACACGCTTGCTTCAGTCGCAAATTACCTTTGAAGCATCCGCGTTGTCAAATCGCCCACTGTTGCCTGTAACAAGAAGATCAGTCTTCTCCTTCTACGTACTCGCTTTTTCAAAGGTATCCAAAGCCGTAAAGCGATAGGCTACAGTTCTTATCTATCCGGCATGAAATGTAAGGCATAAATAACGGCATCTCGAGTTTTTCCCGTTTTATCACCCACGCGTAGTTCATCAGTTAGCTCAATGTGCAAATAGATTACCTGATGTTTCATCACGTCGTTAAACAACAACTTTATTCCCGAGAAGCTTGGCGGTTCGCTCATAGATTGAATGCACACTGAGTGAAAAAAATAATAAATGTTATAGAGAAATTCCAGCAAAAATTACCATCCCAAACAATAAATCGGATGCGAGCTGGATAAAAAGGAAAAAATTGTTATTTTTAAAAGTAAAGATTATTGTTTTAACGGTAAAAATTGTAGTTTGAATGGTAAAAATTATGGTAAGAACAGCAAAAGTTACCATTCTGGAACGGTAAACCTTAAAAGGATCGATTAATAAATTTTACTTACCCGCATAGAAGTTCTTACTGTTTTAACCATAACTTTACAATCACGTACGCTTTATCCTCATGTATGATGCGCGTTTTAAAATGCAAAGCATGTCTGTTGCGCTGAAATATATAAAACTGATTTATGAAAGTTTGATACAACAGAGTTTATTAGAAAAAAAAAAAAAAAATCTCTCTATTATACAAGTACATAAGACGAAGACACATTTATTGTACTTCTAGACATATTATATTGGTCACGTCTTCCTTTACTTTTTGCAGATTAAAAAATGAGTAAGATGTATCCGGACCCAAATGCACCGCCGGCTGGCTTTGCACCGCCACCACCTTACAGTTCAGTGCCATTGCAACATGCTTACGATGGAATACCACATCAGCCACCACCGGGTATGAAAAATCAAATCCAAATGCCTGTTAGGTTTTGTTGAAAACATTTTTATGACAAATTAATAGTGTGGCTTTAACCCTTTAAACAGCACAATCCACGGTCATTATCGTGCAAAATACGTCTTTTGGATCGGAACCCCAAAGGATGAATTGTCCACATTGTCATGCGGATATTGTCACGAGGACGGAGTCGGCTCCCACAGCCACGACCCATCTCGTGTTTTTAATATGTTGCCTTTTCATGTGAGTCACGTGTCTTGATTCATGCCATCGTTGTAAAACGCGCATACAAAAACTTAATGACGATAGTACATCCTTCTTTTTTTTCCAGATGCTGGCCGTGCGCGCCTTTCGTTTATTGCACGGATTGTTGCTTGGCAAAGAAGCATTACTGCCCAAGATGCAACCATTACTTGGGCCAAGGACAATGAAAGCTTATCGATTCTTCGTTCGAGAAGGAGACCACGATTGTCCATCGTGTCGGGATCGTCGATCGCGATGCGAGCAAACACCGCATTTTTTCATAGACGTTTTGTATTAATGTTGTGTACAGAGCAAAAAGTATTGAATTATTTTAGCGTGTAAGGAGTTTGAGAAGCTGTCATGCTTATGCAAAAATGTGTATGTCAACGACTGCTTATGGGCTCAAAAGTGACTACAATGAAGTATTCTTTTAACAAATAGTTATGGTTACAACAGGTTTTTTGTTTAAAACTTTAAAAGTTATCGAGAAGTCTTTTTCACGAATGTTTTTAGTGGGTATACACTTGTACATTGTACGACTTTGATACTTTAAAAAGCTTTAAATTTATATTTGTGATTCTACGTAATTTCAATGAAAAATAAACGGTATCATTACAATTTTGCATTTTGTATTGTACTTACAATGTATATTGCAATACTTACTTGTCACAAAGTGTGATACGAGCATTGATTCTTCCACATTTTCTACCTACTTTTATTGTCATGGATTAATTATTCGTTATTCTATAATTTTTAATTAATTTTTAACGTAAATATAATTATGTAAGCTTAGGTATTGCAAACTAAGTTAAAATACCTAATATAAATCAAAATATTCCTTCTACGTACTGTTAATCATTTTTTGAAAATAAAATACCAATACTGTTACAGTATATACATTTTTTATTTCCTTTCGTCCACTCGAATTACACCTTTTATTGAAATCGTCACATTGTTGTTTTAATCCTCGAAAAACTTCAAGCTCTAATTGTAAGCATATCTTATGTTTACATGATAAAATTCAGGGGTACTACCAAAACCAATTTATAAAAAATTTCAATTTTCAATTATATCACAAATATGATGCAACATCCTTTTACTTTGAAAAAATGCTTTATTAAAACACACGTTCATTGTCAAATGTAAAAATGATTCCTCGTCAAACAATACCTACCGTCAGCTATGACTATACATAAAAACATATAACCGATCTCATTTAGGAGTGTTGCATGCGCCCGCGCGTGTGTGTACATTGTGAGTTGAGCGAATATATTAAATTAAATTAAAGCGTTTTGTTTCACTGCAAACATGCTTAAGATGGTCTAAATTGTGTTTGAAACGTATCCACCTCATCCAAACGTACGTACTCTTTCCTCGAGAATCATCAAAAGTTCATTGTGCTCTTCAGGATTTATAAGGAGTGGAATGTATCACAGATGAACCATCATTTCCTTCTATTTCTATTTTTTAAACTTATGAGTTTTAAAGTTAAGCTTCTTACTCCCCTTTAACTTTAATGAATTTTGAAAGTATTCATTTATTGGATTAAAAATTTTTAAACAGTTTCAATTTTATTCGAACAAGAGCTAGAATAGTATATTACGTACCAAGGGACTAAAGCAAGCCAGTTCGTGGCTGTTGTAGTGTGCGCCCGAGCGTAGCGAGGGCGCTACAAGCAATAGCCACTCGCTGGCTTGCTTTAGTCTCGCGGTGCGTATACACTTTTATATCACACTCAGCGGAAAGTTCGTTGCATTGAGAGGGAGAGAGATAGAAGGAAAACAAGCCATTCATTGTGTGGTTATAGGTTATATCACAAGAGTTTTTATAATTGTTTCCGATTGTGATATTTAGGACATTCCTGTATTTTTGTATAAAATATGGCAACAGTTTCGACAGTCATGTTCGAAGAGGATTCTTCTGACGAAGAAAACTTTAACGAGGATAAAGTAGGGGAAGGAAGAGACTTTGACTGTCAACGAAATGCCATTGTTCAAAATTTACTTCCCATAAAATCGAGAGCATTGTATGAATATGCATACGCTCGATTCTTACAATGGAAGCATAAGAACAAGGACCTAATTATTTAACTCTTTTAATGAATGTGTTTCGAAATGTAATAATTTCAATAGTTTTTTATACAAGATTGATAAAAATGAAGAACTGTAAAAATGCAGTTATTATTTAAAAATGTGTGAACAAAGAAAATTGTATAACAATTTTAATTATTTCCATTTGTTCAGAATCTCATTTTTTTTTTTTGTATAAAATACACCAGCAAACAGTACATTGGCTTCTTTTATCTTGTTGATATTTCCCAAATTTGTTTGTTTACTGCAGTGTGGCGCCCTCGCTATGTTCGAGCACCGAACTACTTCAGGCACTTATTGGTTTGTGTATATAGTAATATACTGTAAGATATAGATACGCATGCGATGCGTACACGCACTTATTACACAGTTTCTGTCCCTGTATACAGGGAGAACAGTACGAACTTTACGCTTAGTGTGATATAAAATATTTTACGTGCCAGTGGTTGGAAGTATTTAATTGTGTTCAACACGAGTGCAACGTACGTCGAAATGTTTTCAATGCAATATAGTATGGTGAATTCCGTACAAATAAACTTATTTACCATTGAAAAGTATTTTTTTTTTTGTCCAACTTTCCTATCTTAGGATCAAAGCTGCCACAAGGATGATCAAGACTTCACGTGGTGTTAAGGCTACAGTGGTTGTTTTCCTACCTCGGACGTTTTTGATGATTCGGGCATGATCTCGGCAGGAAAAACAGTGTTCGGCCCACGAGTACCATATTCATCCGAGGCTACCATACGCTCCCTCGGGCCTAATTCGCAGGCCCCTGGGTCATAAAATAGCTCTGGAGGCGATGGTTCTTTTGTGACAAAAACTACCGATTAATCCAGTTAGCTTTCCTAATGACAGAGCTGCAATATTTTTGACAGCTATGAAAATTTTGTGAATCTGCTTATAAAAGAGTCTTCTTTTTATTTCCACTGGAATATACAAATATTTTTTATATTTACAAACATGATTTGCAGACAAATCGACAAGATTACAGAAGATGTTAGATTTCACGTATGCGTTGCTATTCAACTAGTATATAATATCGTTTTTATACCTAGTAGAGGGGGGAGGTAGGAGTCGTAGCTCATCTATACGACTCTGCTGCTTAAGAAATAGTATCAGTTCGAAGCATACCGCTACGTTTGAAGTGATCGAATTTTTCAACACGATTAATTAATCTCCATCGTGGGTTTAAGGTACGTTTTTACTTGGTTTGAATATAATTGCCACCAAAGATCAGTATTTCATACAATTAGAATTCGTTTTTATTATAATATCTAATACTATAACCTGTAGATCTGTATAACGTTAATTTCAGATTAGTATGATTTTACAATCCTGTTTAATTAATGATTAAATAACTGATGCGGAATTTAGCTTTCCTGTAACAATGATCAGCATCAAAATAATTTGTTAATACACACGTTAACATAATATGTTTTGTAATTTTTGATGTCTGAGATGAACTCAACACAAAATCCTTATCCATCTATTTATAGAGTGAGCCAACTTTTGATGAGTTTTGTTCCATGTCCAAGTATGACATTTTTTTTATTTGAAAAAAAATACAGTTAATCCAAATATAGTAACAGTTGGCACAACTTAAACCGATTCTTTGTTCTACCCCAAGAATTTTAATACAGTATTAATGGGCTTTTTTCGAAGTTTAGTTACTTCAGATGATAAAACTAATGATGAAGATTATTTTACTGTTTTACCAGAAGTACGCTTAATAGAGGCTATTTAAAATTGATTATTCAAACAGCAATCCTGTCCAACCGTTTGTAATACAATTTCCTAGTGAAGCGAATCTGATATTTCTATAGTTACCTCTTTTAGGCATATTTCCATCAAGTATATGCGTTTTGGGCAAACATCCCATTTAATACGAGTCATTAGGTATTTTTCTTACTGAAATCAGAAAAATACCAAAATTATCCTCTAAAACAATATTTGAACTCTACAAACGATCTTTGAAACAACTTAATGTTTCGACATCTGATGCAATTTTCGTCAATACCTATATAATTTTTTTTAAAATAAACAGTTTTACGTTTTGATAACACCTGCAAACTTATCCAATATGGAGGAATATGATAGATAAAATGCAGAGTTTTTACAGATGCACTATTATAATTTATAGGACACCACCTTGACGATTAACCATTTTAAACTATATACAATGCAATGTTTAACTACTTTTTAAATTTAACTCGTCTTAAAGTCCACTGATACAATTAAATCATATTTCGATACATTAAAAATGAAAATGAAATTTTATTCTTACTCTTGAATTTAAATCTATTCAAGTAACATGGAATTTCAGTATAATAAAGAAATTAAAAAATTTTTTTTGTTACATATGAAAATTTTGTGTACATACTCTAAAATTCATATCCAATAAGCAAATAAAATACAGCGTGAACACTTTCTAATAATTTTTTATTATATTTACAGATTTAATAATGCACAAAGAGTATCCACATGCTCCTGAACCCCCAATTTCAGCTAATGTTGCACAGCCTCCGCCTTACGGTGCAGTATCACCACCACAGCAGCAAGTATTTCACCTTGGCGGAACTCAATTTGTTCCCCCACTACAAGATTATAGGGG